AGGTGTGTGCACACACACATGTGTGTGTGTGTGCACGGCTGGGGAGCAGCCACGTCCTGCCCGGTGCCGGAGCTGGCTGGCCCTGCGAGCCATGGTGCAGTCCCTGGGGTGAAGCAGATGCAGCCGGATGGGCAGAGGGAGGCACAGCCCCTCCTCTGCCCCACTGCAGCACCGTGGCAGGGTGTCCTGGCAGGAACTGGCTCCTGGTGGGTGAATTCCTGGCAGGGTGACAGTGCCTCCGTTCTCTCCCACAGAGCCTGCCCAAGATCTGCGGTGTGGGAGAGGGTCAGGCGTTTGCCTCCGCTCTGCAGAAGCTCTACACAGTGGTGACGCAGCAGGAGGCCAAGCAGGCTCGGAAACGGCAGCGCTCGGGTGAGGAGCTCCATGGCTGTGGGATGGGGAGAGCCTGAAGCACCCGGCCCCCCTGCTGCTGAGCCCCCATCCCAGGGGAAGGGGAGTGGGGCCCTGAGGGCAGCTCACCCCGTGCAAGAGTCTCCCCCTCTGCTTTCCCCCCATGGGCTGAGCTCCTCCACCCAGGTGCCATTCCTGGTGTGGGTTAGGGCAATGCCCTGTGCTCCCTCATCTCAATCCTGAATTGCATCTCTTTCTGTTGCTACCAGAGGACACCGAGGGCCCGGCACCCACTACAGAAACTGCAGAGCACCCCCATCCGCCACCCCTACTCCAGGAGGATGAAACAGCGTCTTCCAGCGAGGCAACCACGGTGAGCGCAGCTCTAGAAACAGCTTTTCCATACCAATGGCAGGAGGGGGCCTGCACCCCCCTTCCCTCCTCTGATCCCAACCCTGTATCCCTCCAGGATGGGCTGGGCGTCTCAACTCAGTTCCTAGCCCATCCTACCCCATGCACCCTGGCTGGGGAGCGTGTGGGTCTGTTGCACACGTGTGTGTGGTTTGCACGCCACCACGGGGGTGGGGGATGTCAATGCTTGCACACGCACGCCTGTCCTGTGTGAACCCCCGGGGGAGACTGACTCTGCCTCTGCTTTGATTCCAGCCAACCTCTTCCCCAGCTCAGAAGCCCCGGCTGCCTGCAGCCAAGGCCAAGCCGAAGAAGGCAAAGGGGCTCTTCAGCTGAAACGTCACTGCCACCCACCCCAAAGGTCTCTGGTGCCCCCAGCATCCGAGAGAGGCAGTGCAGAGCACCCGTGCACCCTCTGCCTCTTCACCTGCATCTCCTGGTGGACCCTGACCTGGGGCATGGTCCCCTCCCGAGGCATCCCAGCAGGGGTGATGGGGCATCTCTTCTCTTCAATGGTGTCTCAGGAACATCTTTTCTGCCTCTTCCCTGGTGCAGAGCTTGCCCAGGCTGCCCCTTGATGGAGCCAGTGCTGGACCTGAGGGGAGCAGGAAGGATACTGCCGGGTGGGCATGAGACAGCCTGGGCTCCAGCAGGGCCGTGGGGCTTGGCTGCTCTCGCGTGGGTTTGCAATAAAGGGCTGTGTCTGGCTGAGATCCTTCTCCTCCTGCTCTGTCCGCCCTGAGCCTGCAGTGTCCAGGCAGGGGTGCAGCCCCTGGTGCTGCTGGGTCCCCCTCAGCCTGGTCCTGCTGTCCCAGGGACTTGCCATGGCTCTGGGCAGTGAGAAGGTGACAGCTCATTGCTATGGGGCAGGACGGCAGCTCCCAGCCCGTCCTGTGCCTCACCCTGAGCAGCAGCGGGGGGGTGGTGGTGTGTGTGTGCATGAGGTGTGGGTGTGTGTACACCCCAGGTCCTGAGGGCACAGCATGCTGTGGGGCCTGAAGCCTACATTCTCCTTGTCCCACACCAGGGACACACCATGTGCTGGTGCCTGGAGCCAGGTGAAGCCCTTGCAGCGTGTTGGCAAAGGAAGCCTGGCTGTGCTGAGGGCCACCCTCCATACGCAGGCAGCTCCCCCAGGGTCAGTGGGCAGGTGATATGGGGTTCATCCATGCTCTGGCCTCCAGAGGGCAAGGGACAACTGAGCCACTAACACACTGAAAGCTCCCAGACCTGGGGGCAGCCATGGAGCAAGTTATAGATGCTCCCTGGACACAAAGCACCACCTCTGCCCCTCCACACCCCATCCATCCATCCGTCTATCCATCCATCCGTCCATCCATTAACCCCTGCTCTCATCTTCTAGCCCTTGTGTCCACATGCTTCCTCTGGGGCTGGGACCCCGCTCTTGTGACCAAGCCAGGTCCTAAAGCAGCAGGCAGAGAGCCAGTGCCACCCTCCTGGGGCAGGGATTCATGCCCCTGGCTGCTCCCCGGGGCTGGACTGGCCACAGTCATGCTGCCTGCTCTCCTGGGCGGCAAGGGGGAAAAAAAAACATCCGGAGCAGCCCCTGTGTCTGTGGAAGAGGAATGAAAGGGCCTTTACTGGGCCATGGCCGGCCAGTCCCCAGGCGAGAGCAGCTGGTTGCTTTTTATATTTCCTCTCTGAGGGAGCAGCGTGTGGGGCAGGGTGAGTGGTGGGAAGGGGAAGCCATGGGATGGGGAACTTGTGCCGACAGCCGTAGCTACATATCCTGCCTTCTCCCATCTGCCAGCATCTTACCCTGGCAGCTTTGGGTCTGCCTGCTGAGTGCTTGCCCCCAGGGAGGGTCCTGCTTCCAGCTGAGTAGGACCAGGGCAGCAGTTTAGCAGCTTTATGTTTCATGTCTCTTCTGTCACCAGGTTGTTGCCTGGCGCAACCTCTGCTCCATCCATACGGGCTCCATCTCCTGGCCTAGGAGCTGCTCTGTTCCAAGCCTGATCCCCCTGCTCCCTGCTGAGCCTGAGCTTCATGCTGCTTCCCTGTGCTCCTTCCCCTTCCCACCAGGACCTGCAGGAGGAGGGTTTATCACCCCAGTGAGGGCATTTGGCTCATCTGTCCCCTTTGGGGCTGAGGGGACATCACATGGGTGAGGGCACATTCCCATCTCACTGTGCCAGTGGCTGGTGGGCTCTATAGGGGAGTGGGTGGTGCAAACCAACACCTGCATCCCCAGATTGTCCCAGCTGCACCCAGGCTGTGTCTCTGCTTCTCCGTGGGGTGCTCAACTCAGGGGAGCCAGCCCAAGGGATGCTTGTTCAAGAGCCCCGTCCTGCTGCAGAGTAAGTGCCCACGGGGAGCCCCACAGCTCTGTGCCCACGGGACAGGCGAGCACCCCAGCAGGCATGGGCTGGGGGTGAAGACCTGCTGCTGGGACAGATCCTGCTCCACTCACCCTGTTCCCAAGGCAAGTCAAGGTGGGGCAGCAGGAGCATGGTAAATAAAAGCAGGAAAGTAAAGACATCAGCATGAAAAAGAGCTCTGCTGATGTCCCCTAGGCCACCACAGGGACCCAAGCCCCCAAGGCT